AGAGCCCAAAAGTACTAATAGTCTTGATTTTCAGACAATTGTACCGAATTGTCATACGTTTTATGCTGCGCAAAGATTCAATCAGTTTAATCTTGGCCATCATAAGAAGTGGGTTATTGATGTAGACAAATGCTCATGTACCCTTTACAACTCTTTTGATGTATTTTATTACCAAAGTCTAAAGAAGAAAAAAGGCCAGTCAGTCACTCAATAGTGTCTGACAGTGAAGTCCAGCAAGTAAACGGGTTTCCTTGCATAATTTGAATATGAGGACACTGCTAACGTTTAAATTTCACAGATAGGACATACATGACATATTCATAATTCCGGCAAAGTTCTACAGAATTTGAGGTTGGCTGCAAAAGGGACATAGTACCTTTAAAATTCATGCAAACAAATATATTCAAAAATTGACTTGAAAACACATCAGACAATTAGTCTGAACCGAGTCAGGAGCAAATTTGAAGAAATTATATTTTTAAAGGTTGTAAAACCAAAGATATAAGAAGAAAACTGACCAACTATCTGTACTAAACATCTTACATGTAAAATTGGTCGTAGACATTCGACAGCAGAAAATGACGCGCACGGTTGCACTACGTGCGTTCTCGAATCCAAAATCGTATCTCACACATGCACTCTCGCCATACCGCGAATGGTCCCTCGTGGGGAGCTAGCCGGCTGAGAGTTTGCCAGCGATACCAATGCACCTTCGGAGCTCCGCAGCGCGCACTTTGTAGCGAAAATCGAAAGGTTCGAGGTGGGAAGGTGGCGGGCTAGCTTTTTGCCAAAACAACGCTAGATCGTCTGCTGGCAAAGTGAAAATAACTCGGAGAACAATTGTCGGTTTATTAACTTTTCAGTGAGATAATCCTAAATTCTAATTGAGACTATATAATAAATTAAATCGACAAAGAAACCTGGTGGGGTCACTCAATGTGACTTCCGGACCGCATGACCGTTACCAAAATCGCGGAAAAAGGGGTCAATTTCAAGCAATGTCCGCGGACAAAATATTCCTCGAAATAAAGAAAAATAGGGGGGCACAGGTGTCCCCGAAATTGATAAATAGGGGTCAGGAAAAGGGAAAAGAGAAAACCGGGAAGGGAAAAGAGAAAACCGGGAAGAAAAATTCTCGGAGCCGAGTCTTGTCCTTGAAATATGGTAAAATAGGGGTAAATTTGCGAAAGTGTCCTTACAATTATCTTATAAATAGGGGTATTCCAAAGTACGATTTTGTCCTTGTTTTGACGTAAAAAAGGGGGTTAAATTTCACAAAATGTCCTTGAAATTGACCGCAAAAGGGGGTTATATGCATTGGTGGTAACGGTCATACGTGTCACTCTTTGCAGGGGAGTGACCCCACCGGGCGGTAGATCACTTATAACTATACAAAAGCTTGTTATTTCTTCATTTGACATTTGTTTTCGAGCCATTTTTTCGTGCGCGAGTCAATGCAAACTATGTATAACCAAACTTTCAACACGCAAGGAACGTGCCGGGAACACTCGCGGACCTCGTATCAAATTCGTTGCAAAAAAAAATTTCAAGGGTGATTTTGAAGCAGTGAAGAAAATTGGCGCTGCGATGCGCAGAAATATACTTGAAACTTGAACGAAACTTAAAAAATCACACCTGAATTTTCAGAAAATCGTATTTGTATTACCGTACCTAGTTGTGAGTTGTTTATAACTCAGATTTTATGAAGATTTGTCAGAAAAAATGTAATTTTTTTCCGTTTGGTGGTCATTTCTAGGCTAATATTTCAAAAGTTGCATCAGTAATAGGCCCAATGTTTCTCATCTTGTACTCGCATGTTATTTCTACTAAGATTAAACATAGGTCTAGGATGGTTAGGGGTAAGACCGGATAACATTATAAAAAAGATATATCCTTCCACCCTCCCATATCCAAGTTTTTGGCTGATTATTGCCGACCCACCGTAGCAAGTCCATTGAGATTTTCGTACGCAAGCGAAGCGCCCTCTAGTACCCTATGAATGTGCCTATAAGAGCCCCCTAAAATTTGCATAGACCCTACATGTAGATCTAGACTAGAGTCTACAGTTCAATGCAAAACAAATGAAAAAGTGTCATTTTCATGCAAGCAAGCTTGAAAAGTAGCCCCCGAAATGATATATTTTTTTCTGTGCTAGTAATGCAGCTATGTGTGGGCAGGCATGACGTAGTCCGTACACGTAGTGCGTACTACACTTAGTCTGAGAGACAACATATTTCTCACATACAAATGAAGGTATGGGACTGAGATGTTTTTGCCTGCCCACTCTCCGAATTCTCGCTACCCCAAATAGCGATTCTGCCGAGATCCGGGGAAAATCCTGAAAACGTGCATTGCATTATGATGGGATAGCTTTTCGACATTACAGCTTCCTGTGCAGGCGTTCGTGATCACAACCCTCTCTTTCACGGTAGAGTTTAACGGCCTTTTGTGCTAAAGTCACTAATTCTGCCCGAAGCTTTCCATTGCATATTATAATCTG